TAGACAATACTTAGAAAGCATTCATCCATGTCAGGCAAGAACTATATTAATTCATTTAATCTTCACTATAGGTCCATGAGGATATACAATTTTTAAATCCATTTTGCAGATGAGAAAATTGAGAAATAGAGAGGTTAAGTAATTTTCCCAAGAAAACACAGCTAGTAAGCACCAGAACCTGTGACTGAACCCAGAAAATTTAGTTTCCAAATTGTGTTTCTTATAATTTGATTCAGGATGCTTTGGAAGACACAGTGGTCTAATCCAGTGGGTACTAAACTTTTGTCTATGAGCCACAATAAAAAAATAAAATGTTTATTATAACATAATGCACACACACTAAAAAATCTTAAAACGATACTTACTAGGGAGGCAAGCATTCTGCTATTTCTGTTCCATTCCATTCTATTCTTTGTTCTATTCTTTAAAAAGTCAATTGTGACCCACGAAATTAATTCTAGAACTAGTAATGGGTCATGATAAACAATTTTAAAAACCCTGGCAATATAATAGGATTGATTACAGCGATTGTGGTGATGACTTAGATGCTCAATGGTTGTTTTAGTCTGTTTGGGCTGCTATAACAAAATGCCATAAACTGAATAGCTTATAAATAACAGAAAGTTTTTCTCACAGTTTTGAAGGCTGAGCAGTCCAAGATGAAGGCACTAGCAGATTCAGTGTCTGGTGAGGGCCTGTTTCTGGTTCATAGACAGCCATCTTCTCTCTGTGTCCTCACATGGTCAAAATGGAGAGGGGGTTCACTGGAACACCCTTTATAAGAGCACTGATCCCATTAATGGGGGCTTTATTCTCATAACCTCATCACTTCCCAATGGCCCCACCTCCTGATACCTTAGGGGTTAGGATTTCAACATATGAATAAGGAGGGTTAGGGGAGAAACTTCAAACCATAGCAATGGTCATTTTTGAGCCAGAGGTCTAGTTCAGGAAAAACATGGAGGTGGCAGGCTGAAGATTAAAGGCATAACTGGGTTCCAAAGCAAATTACTCTCAAGGTTCCAAGAGAACTTTGAAGGGTTTTGAGTTGTGAGTAATTAACTGGATATAAGATCTGGAAGTCAGTAGCAAATAGTAGAAAACCAATCAAAAGTACGTAGATGAGACCACTGGGGAAGAATGTGTGAAGTGGGAAGATAAGAGGCCCAGAACAGAACTGCAAGGAACAGCAGTGTTTATAAGAGGAGGTGAAGAAGTGCCTGTTGGAGAGGAAACTGTGGGAGCATTGGAGTAGGAGGAGGCCACGGGGAAGCATGGTGTCAACGGAGGCACAGAAGCCAAGAGGGGCTGGAGATGTAGCTGGTGTCAGCTGCAGCAGAGTGATCACATATCATAGGTGCTGAAAATTGATTGTTGGATCAGTATTTATGATTCAGTAGTGTATTAGTTTGTTCTCATGTTGCTAATAAAGATATACCCAAGACTGGATAATTTATAAAGAAAAAGAGTTTTAATGGACTTACAGTTCCACATGGCTGGAAAGGTCTCACAATCATGGTGGAAGGCGACGGAGGAGCAAAGCCATGTCTTATATGGTGGCAGGCAAGAGAGTATGTGCAGGAGAACTGCCCTTTATTAAACCATCAGATCTCATGAGACTTTTTCCCTATTACAAGAATAGTACAAACAAATGGACAAAAATTCCATGCTAACGGATAAGAATCAATATTGTGAAAATGGCCATACTGCCCAAAGTAATTTATAGATTCAATGCTATTCCCATCAAGCTACCATTGACTTTCTTCACAGAATTAGAAAAAACTACTTTAAATTTCATATGAAACCAAAAAAGAGCCATATAGCCAACACAATCCTAAGCAAAAAGAATAAAGCTGGAGGCATCACACTACCTGACTTCAAACTATACTGCAAGGTTATAGTAACCAAAACAGCACGGTATTGGTACCCAAAGAGATATGTAGACCAATGGAACAGAACAAAGGCCTCAGAAATAACACCACACACCTACAACCATCTGATCTTTGACAAACCTGACAAAAAGAAGCAATGGGGAAAGGATTCCCTATTTAATAAATGGTGCTGAGAAAACTGGCTAGCCATATGCAGAGAACAAACTGGACCCCTTCCTTACACCTTACACAAAAATTAACTCAAGATGGATTAAAGACTTAAACATAAAACTTAAAACCATAAAAACCCAAGAAAAAAATCTAGGCAATACCATTCAGGACATAGGCATGGGCAAATACTTCATGACTAAAACACCAAAAGCAATGGCAACAAAAGCCAAAATTGACAAATGGGATCTAATTAAACTAAAGAACTTCTGCACAGCAAAAGAAACTATCATCAGAGTGAACAGGCAACCTACAGAATGGGAGAAAATTTTTGCAATCTATCCATCTAACAAAGGGCTAATATCCAGAATCTACAAGGAACTTAAACAAATTTACAAGAAAAAAAACAACGCTATCAAAAAGTGGGCAAAGGACATGAAGAGACACTTCTCAAAAGAAGACCTTTTTTTTTTTTTTTTGAGACGGAGTCTCGCTCTGTTGCCCAGGCTGGAGTGCAGTGGCCAGATCTCAGCTCACTGCAAGCTCCGCCTCCCGGGTTTACACCATTCTCCTACCTCAGCCTCCCGAGTAGCTGGGACTACAGGCACCCGCCACCTTGCCCTGCTAGTTTTTTGTATTTTTTTAGTAGAGACGGGGTTTCACCATGTTAGCCAGGATGGTCTCAATCTCTTGACTTCGTGATCCGCCCTTCTCGGAAGAAGACTTTTATGCAGCCAACAAACATATGAAAAGAAGCTCATCATCACTGGTCATTAGAGAAATGCAAATCAAAACCACAATGAGATACTATCTCATGCCAGTTAGAATAATAGTCATTAAAAAGTCAGGAAACAACAGATGCTGGAGAGGATGTGGAGAAATAGGAATGCTTTTACACTTTTGGTGGGACTGTCAACTAGTTCAACCATTGTGGAAGACAGTGTGGCGATTCCTCAAGGATCTAGAACCAGAAATGCCATTTGACCCAGCAATCCCATTACTGGGTATATATCCAAAGGATTATAAATCATTCTACTATACAGACACATGCACACATATTTGTTGCAGCACTGTTTACAATAGCAAAGACTTGGAACCAACCCAAATGTCCATCAACAATAGACTGGATAAAGAAAATGTGGCACATATAGAGCATGCAATACTATGCAGCCATAAAAAAGAATGAGTTCATGTCTTTTGCAGGGACATAGGCGAAGCTGGAAACTGCCATTCTCAGCAAACTACCAGAGGAACAGAAAAGCAAACACCATATGTTCTCACTCATAAGTGGGAGTTGAACAATGAGAACACATGGACACAGGGAGGGGAACATCACACCAGGGCCTGTTGGGGAGTGGGGAACAAGGGGAGGGAGAATATTAGGACAAATACCTAATGCATCCAGGGCTTAAAACCTAGATGATGGGTTGATAGGTGCAGCAAACCACCATGGCCCATGTATACCCATGTAACAAACTTGCATGTTCTACACATATATGCCAGAACTTAAAGTAAAATTTAAAAAAAAAAATTTAAAAAGAACAGTAAGGGAAAAAGCTGTCCCCATGATTCGGTTACCTCCCACTGGGTCCCTCCCATGACATGTGAGTATTATGGGAGCTACAATTCAAAATGAGATTGGGGTGGGGACACAGCCAAACAGTATCAAACAGCTAGGGGGAACTGCTATTCATCTTATTACCCTAAGCTTTCTATTTTCAGTTTGAGTTTCTAACTTCTCCTGCTTTAGCCTACATACCTGGCTGTCAGCCTCTTTTCTTTTACTGATTTCTGATTCCTCTACTGAGCATGGTTCTGCCTGAAATCCAGCCTAACTCAGAACATACAGCCCACCAAGCCCTTACCTGTGATGTATTCAGTGTCTACTGTGGGGCAGGTATATATTTTCCCCTTCAGGTAATCTCACAACAATCCCACAAAAGACAATTTTTCTTCATCTTGCAGATAAAACAACAGGCTTAGAGAAGTGAAGTGACTTCTTCCAAGTCCCTCCCAGGACAAGAATATTGGTGTGTCTGGCTCTGCAACCAATGATTCTAGTACCTAACTTACCTGTACGCTGAGCCCCAAAGGGCCCATCCTGTCTTTAACCACCTTTCTCAGGTGTCCAGGCCTGGAGCTCCTTCCCCAAGCCCCATTAGCTATTGGCTAGATTTGTGTACAACTCTAATGGACCTTGGACCACAGAATGCTTAGCCAAGTGACTCCAGATGTTTTGACCATCCAGAATTACCTGCTGCTGTTTCCCTCTCACCTACACCAAGCCAGTGTTTGTTTTTTATTATTTTAAACTTCAAAAAGTGATTCTATGATTATGCATTGTTAGAAATCTGTAAGTCACAAAAAATCAATCAAGGTATAAAGAACACCACTAAAGTATTAAATCTTTCACAGACCATGAGCAGTTATCATTGCCGTGTTAGTACTTCCAGACTGGTATGAAGTTCCCTGTGCTGTGCTCTTCTGCTCCCTCCTCCACTTCCTCAGCAGCCTGCCAATGAGGACCTAGCATGCTCTGGCCTCACTCCTCAAGAATTATTACACTGAGGGTCTTAATTGACCACAAAACTCAATATGAGATGAAAATACGAAGTAGCTACCAGAAAATTGAATGCCATTTTAGACTGCATTAATAAAAAATTGTGTCTGGAGAAGGTTTTGGAGTATTGCACCTACAAACCATCTATAAACAATTATAAAACAATGAAGGCCGTGTGCTCAAAGTAGTCAAAAACTAAAATAGAAGGAAAAATAGGATAGAGGAGGAGATGACCTTTGAAATGGGCCTTGAAATATTGGTAGAATTTTGATAGGTAGAGATGGCAGTCAGACATTCCAAACTGAGTTAATGTGTTTTTGTTTTTGTTTTAATTTTAGAGATAGAGTCTCACTCTGTCACCCACACTGGAGAGCAGTGGTACAATTATGGCTCATTGCAGCCTCAAACTCCTGAGCTCAAGAGATCCTCCCGCTTTAGCCTCCAGAGTAGCTGGGTCTATAGACATAAGCCATCATGCCCTGAGGGTCAGCTGCAGCCCTGTTTTAGAAATAGTATGGACTCAGGGGCTAGAACAGCGGCCAGAATTCTAGCTTTCTCCTCTTCATGTGTGCTTCGTTCATCATTTTTGCAGATTGGCATCCTCTGCTTCTTGAATCCCCATGCAGAAAATATGGCTACCAACAGCTTCTGAATCTACCTGCAGAGAGACTGACTGCTCTGTTATTTTCCCAGCATCTGTGAAAAGACTCTGACTGTCTAAAATGTTGGTATAGTGATCACCCCAGGGTTAAGCAACCATGACTGGTGAAAAGGAAAAACGTTATGAACCTGGCTATTCAGAGCCACCTGAGGAAGCTTGTAGGAGAAGGTGTCAGTTTACAGAGAAAGGGGAGTCCTGGGCAGATGATACAAGAGGTGCCCATTACATCCTTCTAGAGGTGAGTTGTCTAAAATGGTAGGCACTGGCCACATGTAGTTACTTAATTGTAAATGTAAACTTCTTAAAATTTCCTTGGACACATTAGCCTCATCTCAAGTGCTCAATAGCCACATGTGGCCAGTGGCTACTGTATTGAGCAGTAAAGATATAGAACATTTCCCTCATTGCAGACATAGTGAACACCTCTCCTCTAGAGTTATTTTTGGTTCTACCAGCAAAAGCCTAAGTGTCCCAGCTAGAGAAACAGCAAATTTCTTTGGGACATGAACAACTAGAAAACATCTCACCTTGTCCTCCAATAACTTGGAAAGAATGTTTTTGTTTGGAGACCCCAGAACTGGTTCTTGTTTTTTGTTTGTTTGTTTGTTTTGTTTTGTTTTTGAGACAGGGTCTTGCTCTGTCACCTAAGCTGGAGTGCAGTGGTGTGATCTTGGCTCACTGCAACCTCCGCCTCCTGGATTCGAGGGATTCTCATACCTCAGCCTCCTGAGTAGCTAGGACTACAGGTGCACACCACCACACCCAGATAATTTTTGTGTTTTTCGTAGGGATGGGGTTTTGCCATGTTGGCCAGACTGGTCTCGAACTCCTCAAGACTGGCCAGACTCACTGGACGTCAAGTGATCCACCCACCTCAGCCTTCCAAAGTGCTGGGATTACATAGGCATAAGCCACCACACTTGGCCTGGTTCTTGATTATATCCCATTTGAACACTGAGCAAAGCCTCCTAATTTCATTATGCCTGAATTCTTAGACTACCTTACCCCCAAATTTCAAAGATAATTAATTCAATCATCCATCTCATCTTCGTTATGCCAGGCTACCAGACATATGCAATTCCTTTTAGTTAACTGTTTTGTCCAATTTCCATAATATTCTGTTTGTTCTTCTGCTGGTTTCCTTCTCAGTCCTGTCTATTATGCCTTATCAGGACTTTACATGGCAGAGATGGCTAGCTGTCCCTTAAAATTCAGCATCCCCTTTCACAGTGTAGATATGTCAGTTGAATTTGGCTGCCCAGCCAGGAACCGCATCTTCCAGTCCTTCCTGCATCCAGATTATGCCATGTGACTAGTTTTCATCAATGAAATGAGAAAGAGATTTATGTCGTCTCCCAGATTGGTTTTTTTAAAAGCATCATTCTTTTCTCTGCTCTCTTCCCCTATCTGAATAGGAAGGATTCTGTAGCTTTAGGGGAAGACAGAGCCACAAGATGAAAGGAGCTTGGATCTCCGAACTATTCCATGGAAAAAAGCTGCAGTCAATGAAGAACACCTGCAATGGACTCTTAACCTGGGGGTGATGACAACCACTGAAATGTGAGGGCTTATTCGTGAGCGTTTGTCTAGCATTACCCTAACTGATACCTAATTGATTTCCTTACATCCTCAAACTTCTTGCCTTAAATTTCTTCTCCTGCCTCTCCCCCAGCAGTCCAGTTCCCCTCAAGCTTCTGAAAGAGAGGCTGCTCATTCTTCCACAGCAGCCTAGACACCATGGAGGCTGAGAGATGCTACTGGCGTTTTCTTTTTTCTTTTTTCTTTTTTTTTTTTCTTTTTGAGATGGTGTCTCGCTCTGTCGCCCATGCTGGAGTGCAGTGGCACAATCTTGACTCACTGCAACTTCAGCCTCCCAGGCTCAAGCGATTCTCTTGCCTTGGCCTCCCAAGTAGCTGGGATTACAGGTGTGTGCCACACCCAGCTAATTTTTGTATTTTTAGTAGAGATGGGGTTTCACCATGTTGTCCAGGCTGGTCTCGAACTGCTGACCTCAGGTGATCCGTCCATCTTGGCCTCTCAAACTACTGGGTGTGAGCCACCACGCCTGGCTGGTATTGGTATTTTCTTAACTCCTAGTTGCATTGTTCAGACCACTTCACATGTGAAATTAATGCCATCCAACTTTTTTTTGTAGCTGGTGTTCCACACACAGATTAGCACTGGCATTGTTAAATTGCCTGTGCTCAGGGAGAGAATTTGAGGACAAAAGGGAATATTGGCATCAGTGTCTATGGCAACCTAAAGAAATGTATATGAATTTGCGTATACATCAAGCTCTTTACTTACCATGAGGAAAAACATGAATTCTTTCCCAGTCTGGTCTCTCTTATTAGTCTCACTCTTCTTTCCCCCATCCACCAACTGCCTCATCTGTCCCATTTCCATGGGGTGTGTGGGCAGCTGAGGGAGATCCAGCATAAGACATCAGTGCTGAAAACCCTAGCCTGGAAAAAGCAAAGGCCAAATGAGACTCCATCACAGAATTTCTAACACATATATCCAAGGTGCAATGACCAATCTGTCAAACCTTTAGATTACATGATAATTTACTGATGATTCACTTTAGAGATGTGAAAATAAAAGTACTTTTATATTTTTGTTTTTCTGAAAATGGTCCCAAAGTTCAATGATTTTCTCACATATCTCAAATATTACAATGTAATTGGTGATTTAAGGCCAGCACATTTTTGCGGGATATCTGAAAAGAACTTACTTTTCCATAAAGCCCTCTAAGTTTCTTTGCCGCTTATTAGATTTATAGCTGATTCTTTCAAAGTTGACTGTGACCTTGACCTACAGACAACAATAGCAAAATATAAATTTTGTGGAAGGCAGTAGCACTGTCTTTCTTGGATAAAGTCTGCATCTCCTACCACAAAAAATTCTAAGAGGTGTTGCCAAGCTAATGCACATGGTTAAAGTAACTGCCTCATTGCCCCTTTTCTTTCTTTCTTTTGATTTTTTGTTCTAGGTTTACTGCACTTGCCTCTAGCAAGTTATGGAATTCTGCGCCACTCAAATCCTCTATCTGTTGCAAAAATGTGCATCTCAAGATGGTGCTCTTGAGCTGTGGTGGAACATCTTCAGACAGACACTGTGGGACCCACAATGAAGCAACTGAGAAAAAGGACACCACTAAAGAACCACCAGGGTGCAGCATTCCTGAGTGGCAGAAGCCATGCAGGAAATCGCAGTATGTACAGCTGGCACTTTGAAGAACAATGAATTCCTTCAAGGCTCTATGCAGGCATTTCAAACAGTGGCTACCAGACAGGCTTGGCATAGCTTAGACTCAGTTACAGCTAGAATTATTTTATTTCTGGGTAGGTAACTGAGAGAAGCAGGAATTGTGCATTTATCTCCATATGGTTTTATTTTTAAAGAATGAAACAGCAACAAATAGAAACAACTGCTGTAACAGCAAAGAGCATAGTTTCTTCTAAAATGAAGATTATATTTAGAACACTCCAAATGGGGACACATTGTCTGACAAGAGGTCAGAATATCAGAAAATGGAAGTGTCTTAATTAAATAACCCTGAAGTAATTTAATATCATGGATAAGTGAGACTTTTAAAAAGGGTTAAACAAAAGCCAAATCCCTAAGTAGAAATATATAGCCCGATCGCCTGCAAAATTGTTATAGATCTTTGTGTTTTATTTTCACAGATGCTGCACCTTAGTCCAGGGATTTTTAAAGTGTGGTTCCTGAAAGAGCTGTCTCAGAGTCATCCGTGTTGGTGGTGTAATGTAAAGATTTTCAGGCCTCAAGACTGAAGTAGGACAAGGAATTTGAATTTTTAAGCAGCTCACCTGACTTGTCTGTCCTCTAATATCTGAGAACACCTGACTTCTGCTCTTTCAGTAAAGGCAACAATGGTTTTATGAGCACTGTCGTCACATCTCTCCACTCTAGGGATCCTTCTCATTTCTCCCAGACGAGGTCACCCACAGCTGCTGCTTCTAACTGCTGGCTTCCAGCCTGCTGTCTGCCAGCTGGCTCTACCCTCTCCTATAACACAGCAGAGAGTAGCTGTGATCTCCTGTGTGCTCACCCTCCGCTTCCTTGGGTCCATGTTTTGGTCCTGCACTTAAATTTTACAAGCATATTCTCTTTCTCTTAAGGTAAGCAACCATTTTAAATCTCAGCAGTAAATAAAACAAAAAATCACCAGGAAACTATATCAAATCAGGTTTTTTGTTTGGTTTTTGTTTTTTGTTTTTTTGTGTGTGTGTTTTCTTGTTGTTGTTTGTTTGTTTTTGAGATGGAGTCTTGCTGTGTCACCCAGGATGGAGTGCAGTGGAGCGATCTTGGCTCACTACAACCTCTGCCGCCCAGATTCAAGCAATTCTCCTCTCTCAGCCTCCCGAGTAGCTGGGATTACAGGCACCCACCACCAGGCCTGGCTAATTTTTGTATTTTTAGTAGAGATGGGGTTTCATCATATTGGCCAAGCTGGTCTCGAACTCCTGACCTCAAGTGATCCACCCACCTCGGCCTCCCAAAGTGCTGGGATTATAGGCATGAGCCACCACGCCTGGCATCAAAGCAGGTTTTAACCAGCCTTTTTGTCCACTGATAACATAAAGGAGGTCAGCAGCAGCTAAGTCCTGTGCCGGTAGAGCTTTCTTGTCCTTTCACACTGCAAGAGAAATAATCACTTAGCTAAGAGGCCAATTTTACCTTTTTTAAAAAAGATTTTAAATGAGGCCGGGTGTAGTGGCTGACTCCTGTGATCTCCGCCTTGGGAGGCCGAGGCGGGCAGATCACTTGAGGTTAGGAGTTCAAGACTAGCCTGGCCAACATGGTGAAACCTCGTCTCTATTAAAAATACAAAAAAATTAGCGAGGTGTGGTGGTGGACACCTGTAATCCCAGCTACTTGGGAGACTGAGGCAAGAGAATCCCTTGAACCCAGCAGATGGAGGCTGCAGTGAGCCAAGAGTGCACCACTGCACTCTAGCCTGGGCAACAGAGCTGGACTCTGTCTCAAAAAAAAATTTTTTTTAATGAGAGCTATATCTTATTAACAAAATTAAACTATGTTTGTTTTTGGAGTTTTATATATGTAGCATTTACAGAAATCTGTTAAGAGCTTCTTAATTATAAAAATGAGTTAATAACATATTTCTCAAATTGACTTATCAATTCATGTCATTGTGAATGAAATTACTTTATAATCAATAACCAGAAAGAAGCCTGATTTGATTTCAGCTCACCCCCAATATTCAAGGCACTTGGATTTTTGGTCTCCGCCCATTTATTATGTGGTCTACTAAAAATAGACCACATCCTAGGAGTTAGGATTCCAAGAACAGTTTCCACTTATTACTCACTTCTTGATATTTATGGAACTAGTCATTTCACAAATATGAGCTCTACTCTCCAATCTTTAGGAAAAAAAAGAAAATAACAATAACAACAATAGAATTTCATTCTCTCCAGAGAATTAGCAATGAAACGAGAGTGGAAAGAAAGCAAATGGGAATGTTAGAATTGGGGAAAATGTAACGCAAAGCCAAATGTAAATAGAAATTGCAGTTGACAAGAGGGGAAAAGAGGGTGCGGAGGACAAATATGCCAACAGAAAACATGTAAACGCAATAGCATGCAACCTTTTAAAAAATAAATGTTTTAAGTTCATTTTGATAGTGGATAGGACAAGAATATTAGCACATTATGAAAAAAGACATGACAAGACTATGAATAAATTTGAATGAAAATATATAAGTGGATTACCCTCTATTAAACACCAGAGGCCACAAAACTATAGGAAGCAAATGCTTCACTAGAAAATATTCTTCACAGTCTCTTTTAATCATGATGTATACATCTTCATTCTACATTAACTTTCATACACAGAAACAAATTAGAATGACATTCATTTCTATACTTACAACCTGACATCCTTAGATATGTGAATCTTATGCCAACTTAGAGCAAAAATCAAAATTGGAAGATTATAGTGTAAGAAAAGACCATGGCTTGTAATCACCGCACTTTGGGAGGCTGAGGCAGGCAAATCATGAGGTCGGGAGTTTGCGACCAGCCTGGGCAACATGGTGAAACCCTGTCTCTAGTAAAATACAAAAAAAATAAGCTGAGTGTGGTGGTGGGCGCCTGTAGTCCCAGCTACTTGGGAGGCCGAGGCAGGAGAATTGCTTGAACCCAGGAGGCGGAGGTTGCAGTGAGCCGAGATTACGCCACTGCACTCCAGCCTGGGCAACAGAGTGAGACTCTATCTCAAAAAAGAAAAGAAAAGACCATGAGGGGAAGACCAAATCGAGTTGTAGAGACTTCTGGTGTGGATATGCAGACACGGTTTAATCCATAGTCTATGGTAATCACCATCTGTAAGTGGAGACCCCAGCCTACTTGACTTGGTGGTAGAAATTCTTTCCACTGGCAGCAGCTTTCATTTCTTTTTCCTGGAAATTTTTTTTTTTTTTTTTTTTTTTTTTGAGACGGAGTCTCGCTCTGTCGCCCAGGCTGGAGTGCAGTGGCGCAATCTCGGCTCACTGCAAGCTCCGCCTCCCGGGTTCACGCCATTCTCCTACCTCAGCCTCCCGAGTAGCTGGGACTACAGGTGCCCGCCACTGCGCCCGGCTAATTTTTTTCTATTTTTTAGTAGAGACGGGGTTTCACCATGGTCTCGATCTCCTGACCTTGTGATCCGCCCGCCTCGGCCTCCCAAAGTGCTGGGATTACAGGCATGAGCCACTGCGCCCGGCCTTTTCCTGGAAATTTTATCTTTCTTTTCTGTTATAGAGTAAAATGGAAGCCTGCTAGCAGAACACATCTATCCACATGACTCTGACATAGTAGCCTGCATTTCCCAGCTTAGACTAGCTTCCTTTATGGGAGTTATTTTTCATTGCATTCCGAAGACAAAAGACCTTCGGTGATAATCAGTAAAGATCCTAACTTGGTGGCTGACAGTTTTCTACGGAACATGCAGTTCTGACTCCAATAAGCCACAAGGCAGTTCAAATAAAACACTTGGCTGCCCTTTGGGAAGGACCTGGTGGGTATATCTTTCTCTTTTCCTTCACATCTCATTGCCTGTTGTCACTCATGGAATATGTGCATGGCAGGATCAAGACACCACCGTCTGGTGTTCCTGCTGGCAGGAAAAATGTTGGATTTTGAACCTAGATTCCCAATTTATGTTATTTTACACCCCTCTACCATTATCTCCGCTTTATTACCTGGGGAGAAAGCCTTGTTCACTAAGGAGGAGGTGGTTATTGCAACTATTTGAATGTAATCTGGGGCCATTAGGAATTCATCCATCTGTCAAACCTGTGGAATGAAGGAATATGAATGGAGTACCAGTTCTGATGGTGAAGGGTGCCTTAGAACAGACGTTTGAGTTGACAAGTCTTCTCAGTGGTGTAACACATACCAGGGTAGCAATGGTACCAAATGAGAATGGGGCTTTGTCTTTGTAGCCTTTTTTCCTTTGTAGCTTGTTGCAGTGGTTTGAACGGCATGGTTTTTTATTTATTTATATTTTTTTTAAAGAGAATTTAGCAATTTGTGGAATTTTTCTAGAATTGAATACTTTGATAATAACTCATTTACTGAGGGAAAGTTCCATTGTGAGTTTTTGCTTTGTTTTTTGTTTTCATTTTTTTAAAGAAAGCACAGCAGCATCAGTTTATTATTGTACTCTATTTTAGGGCTACTCCCACTTTAGACATTCTTTGTGAGGTGTCATGCTCTCTCTCTCTTCCTCTCTCTCGGGTGTGAGGGAGGCTTTGCAATATGTTCCTGTAAGAGTTCTCAAAAGTGAGAAATGAGATTTTCAATCTTCTCATTCAAACAGTAACTGCCTGAAAAGCCAAGAAGTGGAGTGACGGGTGGTGTTGAAGGTGACAGATTGATGAAGATAAGGAGAAATGAATTTGGAAATGCAGGGAGGAGCAAACCAATGAAGAGTTGTAAAAACCAGAAAAGCAATTCTGAATTAGATTTAGAAGTGGGAGAATGACAAGGTTAAGTTTTCTATAGGGAGAAAGTTGTTAGATTGCCTTGTTTGAGACAGCCTGGAATTTTTGAAAAGTGGAAATTAAAAAAATACTAGAGCAGTGTGATCATTCACAAGAGGCAGGAGTTGATGGTAGGGGTATCTGCAGAGGCAAGCCTTGGGCAACTTCTCTGGGGCCAGTTACTTAATTCTTTGCCGTGGTTTGGTCGAAACAGTGTATTAGTTCGTTTTCACACTGCTGATAAAGGCATCCCTGAGACTGGGTAATTTATAAAGATAAAGAGGTTTAATGGACTCACAGTTCCACGTGGCTGGAGAGGCCTCACAATCATGGCCGAAGGTGAGAGGCACATCTTACATGGTGGCAGACAAGAGAGAACTTGTGCAGGAAAACTCCACGTTATAAAACCATCAGGTCTTGTGAGACTTATTCATTATCATGAGAACAATGTAAGAAAGACCTGCCCCCATGATTCAATTACCTCCCACCAGGTCCCTCCCATGACACATGGGAATTGTGGGAGTTTCAATTCAAGATGAGTTCAGAGTGGGGACACAGCCAAAGCATATCAAACAGGTTGTTTGTTTATAGAGAATTAACTACACATCAAATATGTGAGTCAGACTTAAAGTCATAGAGAACTGAGCACAGGAACCCCTGCATAAGGCTCAGATTTGGAAAGGTCTCTTGCTCCTGGCCTCCTCATATCATATATAGTTACTTCATCATTACTTTTAGCTCTGTGGCTTGCACTAAGTGTCTTGGTCTCTGTTGCTTCCTGAAAATTGACAAGAAATGAATAATCCAAGTGATCTAACCCCTTCAACTCTGTCTGTCTCACAATGCATCATTTTCCTCACCTTAACATAGGTATTGGCAAGGTTAAAGGAAAAACAGTTGGAAATCTACATTGAGACATGATGGAGAAAAATGTCTGGGTTCACTAGCTTTCTGGGCTTCCACAGAGTCTTTCCCTTTGTGTCCTGCATGAAATGGTGGACACATCTGCCCTCCCATCCCCAGCCTTGTTCTCTGGAAAAGAATTTTACAGTGCCCAGGGCAAAAGAGCTAGACAATCCTCATCTTCCCACCTAGCTCCAAGGTTTCTAGTGAGAATCAAGTGAAATAACATGTACAGAAGTGCTTTGTAAGGCAATATAAACACAATCCATATATAGGTATGAATATAATGTTTTTCTTA